GTGCTCCTCGCCACCTCAATGCCAAGAAAGTATTTCAGTGTTCCCAAGTCCTTCATATGAAAACAATCTCCGAGATAAGCTTTGAACTTGCTTACCATCTCTGTATTATCTCCAGCAATAATCAAATCGTCAACATAAACCAAAACATGTATGACTCCTTTCTTTCCAACGAAAGAAAATAAGGAGTAATCAGCAACAGATTGGACAAACCCATAGCGTTTCAAGGCTCCAGACAACTTGGCAAACCAACACCTTGGAGCTTGCTTTAAGCCATACAAACACTTCTTGAGTTTGCACACCACATTAGACGAATTTGAGAAACCAGGTGGCAATCTCATATACACCTCATCCTGAAGATCTCCGTGTAGAAATGCATTGTGAACATCCATCTGATGCAATTCCCACCCCTTAACTGCTGCAATTGCTAAAAGTGTTCTCACAGTGGTCAACTTGACTATAGGAGCAAATGTTTCTTTGTAGTCAAGTCCTTCAACCTGATGATTTGGCCTTATATCACTCCACACTTCCATCGGACTTGCGCTTGATCTTATATACCCATTTGCAACCAAGGGGCTTTTTATGGCGTGGAGGAGAGACAAGAGACCACGTCCCATTAGCCTCCAGTGCATCAATCTCCTCTCTCATAGCCTTCCTCCATCGTTCATCTTGGAATGCCTTCTTGAAACTCGTGGGCTCTACTTCAGCATCAAGTGCGCTCAGAAAGCACTTATGTTTCTGAGAAAACTTCTCATATGCGACATACGATGTGAGAGGATATTTGCATTTCTCCCCGACATATGGTCCAACCACATGGGTAACATAATTGGCAAGACGTACATTTGGACATTTCTCACGCTGACCACGTCCCAAGTTCTCCACCGCTGGCTGGGAAGGAGACAGTCGACCGCCGTCCGTGGAACGGTCCACGCGGTCTCCCGTTTGGAGCTGTTCCGGATCGCTGACTTTCTGCCTCGGAGGCAGTCGACCGTTTTCCTCATCACGGTGGACCGTTTGATCATCTCCCAAAGAACCGTCATTCTGCCTCTCTGACGGTCGACCGTGGACATCGGAACGGTCCATCACGTCGACCGTCTGTAGCCGGTCAGCTCTGCTGCTTTCCTCCGGTCGATCGTCCCTCCTGGAACAGTCCATCTGTTCTTCCGTCCGCAGTTCTTCATCTTCATCATAAGAGATAACCTCATTTGTACTTCCTGTATCAAGAGATGCACCTGTAGGAGTCAAGAAAGGAAAAATATCTTCACAGAACACAACATCCCGGGACACCTTAATTTCCCCAGTGTCCGGGTAGTAAATACGTCAACCCTTCTTCCCTTGTGGATATCCGACAAATATCCCAGGATTGCTTCTTGGTGCGAACTTATCTCCATTCCTCTTCAAGTTATGAGCATAGCATCTGCATCCAAAAACACGAATATGAGCCAAAGAGGGGGGCTTTTCATAAATCTTCTCGTATGGTGTGACCCCCCTAGCAAAGACGACGGTGTGCGATTGATCAGATGTGCGGCGGTCTGTATACACTCTCCTCAGAACTCAATCGGAAGACCAGCCTGAAACCTCAAAGCCCAACCCACATTCAAAATGTGTCGGTGCTTACGTTCTACTCTCCCATTCTGTTGTGGAGTAGACACACAAGACGTCTCATGAATAATTCCTTGCTCCTGAAAATATTCGTTTAGACATTCAAATTCTGTGCCATTATCACTGCGAACACACTTTATTTTCTTCCCGAATTGTCGTTCTACCATAGCACAGAATTGTTTAAAAACAGTGCCAACCTTGCGTTTGGAATCAAGCAAATGTACCCAAACACCTCTTGAAAAATCATCCACAATAGTCAAGAACATTGTAGAACCATCAAGACTTGGAGTCCT